TTTTTTTTTTGTTCCTTAGGAGGCATCGATGTGCTCACAAACCAGAAGCTCGCGTTCCGATCCATCCATGTCGCTTCACCGAGTATCAAGATCGATACAAGAAACATCCCCTCGACCGTCGCCTGCCTTTTAAGCCAGAATACACTGTGAAAGGTTCAAACCAGCCGATGGAAGAAAATACAAACTATAGAACTGATTATATTCCACATACCTACGCTCCACCAAGGAAACGCGACAAGGCGTTGTATGTTAAACCTCAAGGACAAATGGCTGGCCAGAGCTCCTACAAACACGACTACCCAGGGACTGTAGTTCCACCCGCCACCTCTGCGAAACCTGTGGTGTCGTTTCACGCTCATGAAACGCCTTTTGACAGCAGCACAGTGCACCAGGATACTTACAGGCCGTGGGACTTGAGGCTGTGCAAAACTGACAGCATGAAACCAGATGCAACGCCCGCAGCTAGAAATGGAAAAATGGATGGCAGGACTATCTTTCAAACCGACTATCCTGGTTATTATGTTGGTCGGAGACCACAGATAAGGCCGCCAGATACAGAAATTCGTGTGAATAAAGGTCCCATGGAAAAAGACACCACAACAAGGCTTGATTACACCAGGAAGGAAGTAAAACCCGCGGAATCTGCCAAACCAATTGAAAAGCGCCCGAGCACTCAACAACCCTTCAGAGGAAATACCACTTTTATGGATGATTTTGCCTACAGAGGTGGCAGACCTGCTCCTAGTTTTAAGCCCGTACAGGACATTGTGCAGTCAAATAAGCCTTTTGAAGGGGATACCACCACTGGTGTGACTTACAGGCGCTGGGATATTCCTAAACGCGAAGTACGTCTAAAGGAGGCTTACAGACCACCTTCAGCCAGGTTTGCTACTAATACCACTTTCCAGCATGACTACCCTAGATGGGATGTGCCTCCTGCTGAAAGTGCTAAGCCTCCAGTGGCATCATTTGCTTCAGGCAAACCATTTGATGACAGCACAACCCATAAGGATGCATTTAAGGCATGGGAGCCACATCCAGCACAGAAGAGTGGCCGGCCTGATGAATATAGACCACCCTCTGGAAAATTCCAGGGTGAATCTACCATGCGAAGTCATTACAGAGGGCAGTATGTACCTCCAGCAAAGCCAGCCCGTCATGATGTCCATCGGCCTTTAAGCGGAGACATGCTAATGAATACGACATACAAGGAAACATACACTGGTGAGCGACCCCTTAGTTGTCCAGCACAAGGAATTCAACAGTGGCAACCAGGGCCACAGAAAGGGTACTTTTACAGTTATGATAACCGGGGTCATAGTTACTACCTACCAGTTTCTGAAACCGTTCAACCTCTATCTCTGTCGGCTTAGTTTTAACCCCAAACCTTTAATTAATAATAGTCTGTTGCACCAAGTCTTTGCCCAGTTATACTTATTTCAAAAATTTGCTTACAGTCTTAAAAAATAAAAACATTTTAGGAGGGTTTTGAGTTATTAATTCAAATAATTTCAAGGGCAAAACATTGGGTATAACATTTAAATCACAAAAAAGCTCTCCTGAGGAGATTGCTTATATTTACATGCATTGCACCATTTTGGTTTCGTTTCAAATATAAAAATATTAATGGGTGTAATTTAATGTTGTAAAGTTTTACATATATTTAATCATAGAATATTGCATCATATGATTTATTCCTTAAGCATATCAAGGCTAAAAGTTTATGTCTTTCTTGACCCAAAAGTAATGTATATATAGTTACACAATGTTGTTGTCACGGGTATATAGTCTCTGATACTATGTACAGCTGTTGCTTTGCTTGATTACAGCTGTCAAAGGTGTGTTTCATTTTATTTATTAAAAACAATCTTTTAGGCTAGAAAATAAATTTTCCCATTTTTGGAAGAAGCAAATTCACCTGAAATGTGTCTGCATCTGTAGTTCATAAAAATTGCAAAATTTGAATGCGGTTTCTTAAAAAGTAGTAGTTTATTAAAAAATAACATACTTACTGCACTTTATGGTTTTTAATAATTTTTTTTGAATACGTATTACTGTGGAAACAGGACATCCTGGTTTCTTTGCTGCTAGTTTCTTGAACAAGAACATGAAATAAGGGGCACAATGAGATTTGAATAAATTTACAGATCTTTAATTCTTACAAGTTAGTCCAGTGTTCACTATTAAACAAGAGTGAAACCCTTTCATTTTTTGATCAAAGATAGGTTTAAGTGTTAAAAGACTTAGTTTGTTGTCACTAATTTTGTCATCTGCTTCTACTGGTAATAATCAAACCTTGGTTCATTCTTAGCAATATTTCAAGAATGCCATGTTTGGTGACATATTCCTATATTTTGTTATATTAAGATAATCAACAAACTTCAGATCTGACAAACAGCAATGCCCTGGTTTTATAATAGAAAGTTTCTTGGATGACAGTTTTGAAGCCTAATGGTCACTTTACTATTTACATGTAATGCACAGTAGTTAGTGAAAAGGAAAATTGAAACTGGGTGAATAGCAGATGCAAACAATATTGCTGTCAGATCTGAAACTTGCACCAATGTTGGCACACACACAGCACAGCTGCTGTCAATAAATGTACCTTTAGCCCTGGTATTCCTTCTTGATTATTATCTTGATTCTCCACTATACTGAAGTTCTATTCCCAAGTCAAGTTTTACTAGACAAATTGTGAGGAGAAATTTGATAGTGATCACTGAACACAGGAAAAGGCTGAACTGCTTTCATCTCTAATAGAGTCAGTAATTAAATCATACTGCAGTGTTTGTACTGTCATTAGTAGTTAGAACTTGCAGCCTTTTCTGTAGGTGATTGTTTAAGAGGTGTTGCCAGTGTATTGACATTTCATCAGAATTGAGGAGAATCTAGATAACATCAAAAGGGAAGACTGAGCACCCAGAAAATATCATACAATAATTATTGTTCCATGCAGGAAGATACTATGCAGAATTTATGGCAGGAAGGTCAGAAGGATTTTGGTACAAATTTTGTGTCATTTCTTTATTGCCATCCGTGAGTTGATCTGAGTGGATATCATTATTTTCATACCACCCAGCTTCCTCCCACTAAAATTTTTAGACTAGAGTATGCCTGTTGATCAAAGAAAGTAAGTGTACGTCTGCTATGGTCTAAAGTAGCTAATTGTAAGTTAAAGGGGCACCATGAAAATTTAGTTGTAAATAACAATGTAAATAGTTGCACTTTTGTCTTATTGTCAGTTAACCAATGATGCTGCTTAGAGTTGGAATAGGTTCATTTGGGAGACAGCTAGCAGTCAAACAACGACTGATTTTGATTGGTTATTCTGTTATGGTACCATGTCGCATGTACGAATCTAGAGCCAGTTACAAAGTTATCATGGAACACACTACTTAAATAAAGCCTTAAAAGACAATTCAAAGTTCACTGGTGCCAAAGGCATGCCAGAACTTTCACAGGACAGTATTATATTAGTTCAAAATGTTATTGATAATCAGTACCAGTCTGCTAAACAAACTGTGGTATTATCTGCATTCGTAATCAAATTCAGGTCCCTCCTTTGGTTTATGAAGTAAAGAATGTGAAAGAATAGTTAGTGAGGAATTTTCTTCAGAATAAAGAGATGGACATGGTCTTATACAGTTGTGCTGAAGTCATTGCATTATTTAATAGTCAGCTCTCTTTTGTGTAAGCAAACTTTCCTAACGCAAACTAGTATATAACCAAAGCAAACTTAGCTTACGAGCAGGCCCATTTGTGTGAGTTTGGGGAAATTATGGTACAAGCTAGCAAAGTCAGTAAGAAGAACTAGGCAGAACAATTTTTTTACACCATTGTTCTCACTGGCTTTGCCAGTTTTTGTGCCTTTCCTTGAACTCGCACAAGTGAGCTTGCTTGCAGGCTAAAGCAAACTCTTCTTTGAAATAGTGAGGAGTGGAAGGCTTGTGTGTTAACAATGAATGTTAAAAGTCGCAAAACAAACAACCTTTGTTGAGTCCTTTAGACCTCGCTAACACGTTCAATTTTTATATCTTAAAAGGAGATTATTCTCCAAGTGAAGAGCTTGCTCACAGGCTATATCAAAGTCAGGCAGCCTCACTTGGAAGTTGCACTATAATTTATGGAGATTTGAATCATAAACAGTGTCTTCCTTTCAGCCCCCAAAAAAACAAATTGGAGACTGCAGTCTGGGGAGTTCCGGAAGGTTTGCCTTCCATGCATAAGGAGGAGAAACATCACGTTTTTCAGAATAGGTTAAGTCTATACGTTACAATTTCAGTAATAAAAATAACTAGAAAATAAACAAGATTGTTCAAGTTTATTGGCAGCCCAAAACTACATTAATGTGTTGAAAAGAAGAATTTAAAGTAATCCTGCCAGTAGATTGGAATTTGGCAAAGATAGATCACTAATTTTACACAATTTCTATTTTAAAAAGCTACAGAATGGCATCCATTGAAACAACCCGCATGAAGTTGTCACATCCTCCATTAAGTGGACATGAGAATAAGTTACAATTAAGATCTCTTTAAACTCTTTTTCCTACATTTTCTTTAAAACAAAGAGACTAGTGGGTTTCCTTATAATACAGGTTTCACTGACTGAACAGGTACTTCGACTGTACAATAGGACGGCACCAATCAATAACAAATTAAAATAATATCAATCTTTTTATTTGTCTGTGAACGTGCAACTAAAAGTTAGAGATTGGATTGAGGTGACTGTTCACTTTGTATGCAGCTCCACACTTTAAGGATTGGTGGCTTTCATTTTCATTTTATTACAAAAAGTAAGGTCATTTTTCTATTATTTTATCATGGAGAAAAAAAAACACCAGGGTGTGTGATCAAGTGACTCTTTTTACTTTGTATTCTGAGGTAAATCTACGAGATTGTCAGTAGTAGAGAGACACAGAATCATGTGTTTAACGTAAATGGCAAAACTCAGGTCCAGGTTGACTATATTTTTTCTTATCACTAGGAAATGAGCAGGTAAAGACTGTCTAAACTAATGAAATATTATTGATGAACCTCAAGCCAAACTACTTTTTTTGGAGTAGACAGTCAACAAAAAAAGACATCTAAAGGGAAAACCTAGTCATATACAAATTCGAAATTATGATTCTAGATCTCTCTAATAACGTCCTAAGCTGGGTGTTAATGCTGTTAAGACTGAAAAAAGGTGTGACTTCAGAAAACAATGTGAGATAATGTACTTATTAAAAAGTAAGCCATTTCATCCGCAATCTAATTTTGGACATGGAATGGGTATCAATGCACACAATGTTCCACTCATAGCTGAGTACAGATAACAGCTGCAGCTTAACCCTATGTCTGTCTGATAAGAAGCTTCAATATTCAATATATTGGACTGCAACTTTTTATTTCTCTGAACGATACAATGTGCAAAACAGTGTGACTGGGTTTGGATGAGAAAGTAAACAGACGCGAAGTAAGATTAAGTTGATCAGTGCATCTTGGATCTGTTGGAAGGAGCTGAGGCTGTGGGAGGAGGAGGTGGTCCACTTCTGAACAGTTCCTCTATGTAATTATCAAGCAATCTATTCCGCTCCTCTGGAACACATTCCAGTATCAAATACCTCTTGTCTTTCTGTAAGGTAAACAAATTATGTTGTCGATCTTCTCATTAATTTTATTCGCTGCTGATGGATGACATCAAAATAATACTGTACAAAAATATAATTACTGTATTATATCCCATGAATAGTAGGGATGAAAGTTCAAATGTTCATGCATTAAAACACAAAATGAACAATAAGAGGGGATATGAGTTGTTACTTAGTTTAACTGAACAAATTAAATTATTTCGTTACCTCATCTTTGCAACAAATTGTTCATAAAATTCAAGGATATTACTGTGACACTCTGAAAATGGTGAACTCCACTTGGCAGACATAATTCTGAAACGTTGTTGTGTTGTAAGGAGAAAGCCAATCAGGCATAATTATAAACTAAACCACCAGCAACAAAAGTTAATAATTTATTAGTTTTGTAGTTTTGTGGCTTGCTCATGTGTCTTGATTTTTGCTGTGATTGGTAATAACACATTAACATTCCTGAAATAGATGTTTTGTTTCAATCAGGAGTTCACAGTTTTACATTGTACAATGTACTGCAATTATTTCCTAAGGCTTACCTTTAATGTATCTTCAATATCCTTAAGATGTTTAGTAGAGTCTTCTATAAGTTTCTTTGATCTTATGTGATGCATTAAAGGACAGAAAAGAAAACAGCCAATTAGTATAATATTTTAATAAATCTTTTTCTACATACATTAGACTGAAATAAATAGACAAATAAGTCAAGAAAATAACAACGTTGGATGTAGTTGATTATTATTAATTATATGAATGATTCAATACGGATGAATATTGTTCTTAATAAAATAAAATTTCTTACAATAATTGCACGGGAAGCAATTCCATAAAAGCTCCATACTTTTTATTAATACCAAATCCAGTAAAAGCTCCTTTAGTTCGCCCCGTCTCTAATAAACCCCTCACCTAGGAGTTAATTTTTGTAATAACCCCGTATCTAATAACCCCCACCCTCTTTTAAAATAATTATATAAAAATTTGTAATAAGTTTCTCTGCTATAATTATCATGAAATCCACTTTATTCATCCACAAGGTTCATTTTCAAACAGATATACACAAATAATATTATATGATACAAATGCAATGCATTTTTTGCCAGATCAAAATCACAGTTGAGTCTCTCAATCGTGAGGCTAATGTAACTGTGCATCTTGGGTATCATGGATCTACTCTTTCTACTGCTCCAAATGTTGCTCACTTGTAAGTAATTGAGTGTGTTTCTTTCAGTAACTGTCGGAAGTCCCCCTTTGCATCAGCCAACTTGTCACGAAGATATTGATTAAATTCCTCTTCACGTTTCTGCAACAAATTACAAAAAAGTTAAAGGAACATTAAACCTTTAATACAATAAATACAGATCATATTAAATAATTATTATGATGAATGCCACTCCATGCAGGGGTCAATTATTTTAATAAACCTGTTACAAGTGTAATTTACAAATTATTGCAGCTATTGTTGTTAGGCACTTAAACAATGGGCACACTTGTGAATTACACTTGTAAAAGTTTTATTAAATTGGCCCTGGGTAACAGTGCACAAATGTACACATGCCAAAGCTACAACTGTTTCTGGGGAATGTAAGTTCTAATAAATTATCATGAGGCACAGAAACCGCTGAAGATTTTTTTTTCAAAGTGGATAAATTGATTAAAAAATACATTTTCACTTTATTTTTTTACTTTATGAAAAAAAAAAAAACAGCAACAACAACCTAGCACTCAGAGATAAAAGTTTCAGCTGACAGATAACATTACTTACACTGTCATGGCTAGAAAACTTGGAATATCTAGGATCTTCTTTGATTATTTTCCGAATACTTCTCCAAGACGATGTAAGGGTTAACTGGAAACATAAACAACTGTGTTATTAAAACAATATTAAAAGCCAGTGACATGTAAAAATAAATTATACAGGGAGCTACACCATCCAGCACATCTGATAACAACTTGAGAGACTAAGTAAAGTGATGGTCCTTGTAAAATAGATCAGATCCACATTGTCCTAGATATCCGCCTCAAACCAAGAGACACAGTACTGTTTTTTTCTGTCAACTAAACAAAAACTAATCCACTAAAGGAAAGTTTTTAGCTGATTTAATTCATTTTTACACTTAAGGAACAAGGACTGGCAAGGATTCTGTGCAAGAGGTTTTGACTTTGATTCTCAGGTGTGACCTCAAACTTTTGTTTTGACGTCTTTCCTTTCCAAATACTTTTAAGTGGCTTTTATACCTGCGAAACGGAGCACTGATGGATTTGGGGGGGGGGGGGGGGGAAAAAAAGGGCCCCAAGTTTTAAATATACCCCAAAAAAAAAAAAATACACCCATCCACAAAACCTTTGTATTAAAGACCCCCCACCATGGGCTTTTACCACAATACCTACATCACTACCCTCTTTTCTCCTTTTTTAATTTTTTTTATATTTTTGAAGGAGGTGGGTGTTGTTTGTGTTTTTTCTGTGATTGGTGCTCTGATTTTTGTTTTTTTTATCTCATGCATTCGACAGTGATTGTTAGATTTCATATAGTGCGTGAGGTGGGGTGTGGAGGTGGGGGGGGGGGGGGTGGGTGGTAGATAAAATGAGCCCAGACTGTTAAAGTTAACCACATACAAAAGAATCTTCACCTTCACCAATACCTTAGTTCAATAGTACCCACCTCATGGGTCTCATCCAATAGCTTCCTAAACTGTTCCTTCTTTCTCCTGTTTAAATTTTCTATGTGTTCTTTAAATAATGTTTCTTTGTCACTTTTACTCAGAGCATCTGCCATTCCCCAGCGATGATCTTTACGCAAACTCTTTTTGGTTTCCTTCCAACCAACGTCTGCATTGCGAACCTGAGAAGAGTTATTACATTCAATGTAAATGTGATGAAGCACAATACAGTGAATGGTGCATACTGTAGCATCTATCGCGTAAAGCACAGACTATGTGTCTTCACCAAAAAGAGATGAAATAAATCTGGTCACAATTGATTTAATACTGATATTACAAGAATAATACAAGACTTGTATGCACATCAAGTCACAACACTGATCAACTAAAATTACTTGAATATAATTTGCATTTGCCATAATCAACATGTTTTATTAGGAACGCATAAAGTTGGCTTTAATTGAAAGGTCTACTGGATTGGGTGGACATAAGTGCAAGTGATTATAGGCATTGTTACTCAAGTGATAGGCTAGAAAACTAGACAGGGAGAATATTTTGGATTGGTGGGGCTGAACAAGCACCAAAGGCGTAAGTATATCTAAAGGGGCCCGAGGGTAGGGCCCCCATGGAAATAGTTCTACTGACTTGTAGAAAACCAGCTATGAAACACTACAAACAACCATACATTACAAATTATTATCTCTATTACAGTGTATTATTTTTTAGATCTCTTGCCCACCATATCTGCAAGTAAGGCATGAAAATGCTGTTCTGCTTTGTCTCTTAGATGTTGTTCCTTCTCTTTTTCTCTGGCTTTAGCAAGTTCAGCTTGGCTTGCACGAACTTCACGTTCTCGTTCACGAAGACTGGCTTCTATTCGTTCTTGTTTTTCCTTTTCTTTCTCTTTATCAGCATTCTCTTTCTAGAAAAAAAAACAACAACAACAATAACAACACAACGGGGATCAGTTGTATTCAGTATTATTTTTTCTTTTCCTTGGCTGCAAAACGTTAAAACAAAGAGAACAAAGGAATTATTATTATCACCACCTTAACTCCACCAAAATTATCCATAATTATTTATAAAGAGATTTAATCACAATCACTAACTTGAAAAGGGTAAGTGTGGTTTACAAATGAATTGTAATGGTTAGAACTACAATGATGCAAAAAATAATGATAATAAATACACTACGTTTTTTTTACTTCTAGATTCACTGCCTGCGTAGCTGGCAGTTTTCCTAGGGGCAAAACAGGAGCAGGAGTTTTTTGCAAAAAAAAAAAATGGGAAAAAGGCAATTCTCTGCTCAATCACATTCATAACTCACCAACAAAATCCCTCGCTATGCAGGCTACTAGATGCCCAACAACTAAGTAAACTGTTACCTTATAAAGTTGCTCAATGTGTTCTTTGAACCATTCTTCTCTCTGCATTGTATTCTCCACAGCTTTGTAACGAGGGTCCTTCTCAATCTTACTACGAACCTTTCGCCACTGTGCCTTGCTGTCAAGCTTTTGTTCAGCCAACAATGCAGCAAAATCATTTTTAACCTGCACCATTTCAAATAACCAAGAAGAATAAGGATTAATTTCTGGAGATGTCCATGACTGTCACATACTTACAGCTTATAAGCAAATTATTAACTACTGTATGGAAATTTGCTGCATGCCTTACATCATCATTGCAGCAAAATTTTATCATCAGAAAATTTATGATTTTTCTCAACTAGTCAGGTGGAATAACGCCTTTTGCAAATGAGACATAACGATAATCGACCATTATAATACAGTTCTAATTTTTTTTCACATGGCATAGCTAATAAAAATATTGTCTACAGTCAACTCTCCCTAAGATGGACACCTTTGGGACCGACACTTATAGAGAGTCAAATAAAAGGAGTAAAGAAAGGCAGGGACCAACTCTAAGTGTCCGTTTTACAGAGGTGTCCGTCTTATAGAGGTGTCCGTTAAGAGAGAGTTGACTGTATGTATGTTTTCTCAGCACCCTTCTTCTTTAATAAATTAATTTATTATAATTATCTACTGGCTAAGCCACATAATTGATAGACATGACAACACTGAAAAGGCATCCTTTCCTTTATCATTAGCAGTGATGTACATTGAATCAGTTAATTACTGAGCATGCACTCCACACACAAAATTATAATCCTCTTCTGTTACAAACAGCAACACTGTAAAAGTTTTCTTTAGAACTACTGGGTTGTTTGTCTAAATGGTATAATATAAGTAAAGACTCACTCAGAGCAGTTCTGAACAACAAGTTTGAGGAAAAGTGCAGAATATTAGCATGGATTGGCTGTTCATTACAGTTGAACAGGCAGTCAAGCACTGCAGTTGCAAATCTGGCACAACTTTTTGTTAATTTTAATATTTTTTGCCATTGTTTTTACTGTCAGATAGTTTCCCCCTCCGGCCAATCATTTTGCAAGATAACAATATTATCATTGAAAGCAAACACAAAGTAGTCAATCACTGTAGCTGCTGGCCATAGTTCGAAAAAGTACTTGTAACATGGACTATACATCAGCAAAATGAATGTCCCCATAAGAGCCCTGCTAATTTTCTATTTTGGTACTTTCACTTAGGTAAACACGACAGGGTATGATTTCTAGTGCTTCCAGGTTTTGAAACTCTTGTGTAAAACAACAATCAAACCATTTTCCCTAACAAATTACAAGAATGTTAATTGGCTTAAAGAGACAATGGTGTATTTTGAAGCACAGTTTATCACCCAAAAAGAAGCCTGCCACCAGTAATGGAACCAAGATTACTCTAGTCTCAAGCAAACCAGGGGACACAAAAAGACCTAAATTAAATGAATCACTGTTCTATCACCCTGGCTAATATTATTAACTTGTCTGAATGAAAGAACTCTTCACCTCTGGAATGGTATCCTGTTAAAAACGGACCATAACTTGATGGAAATCATGAATAAGCCTTCAGTGCCCATCTACCATCAGCAATCACAACAAACTTGAGCAGTGATCACTGAGGTATATGTGCCCATCTCTAAACCACTGACTAAATGCTAAGAAAAACTCAGTTACCTTGTAGGGCAGGCAAAACACTGAAAAAAGCGAGAACATAATTCACAGGCCAAGGCTAGCTTGTCAACTGTATGCTGTGTTGTATTGGACGGACGACAAAAGGTTAAATACTGATAAGCACAATATTGAATTTTATAATGAAAAGGGGTGGATAGGAATGCAACCTAGGCCATAATGTTCTAGCATTTAGAATTAAAAAGATAAACTGTTATTAGGGGATAGCCTTTGCTAGAGCAGGTGAAAAAATTGTCAAGAAGCTGGATAATAGTACCGGTAACTTAGCTTTAGTCAAGTAACAGAATTGGAGGATACTGTTTCAATTGTAACATACAGATATGGGTAATAACATAAAAGTACATTGCACAAAATAATGGACACATTTAAAACAAAAACAAATGGGAATTTAACAATGTCATGTATTAGATAGTAACAACGATTCACAATAAACAAAATAAAATTGCATATTATTTTATTTTGTTTCTAATCTTGTTTTCAGGTCAGACTCCTTTCCTGGTAAAAAAAAATCTTGCTTGATTTCATTCACAGCACACAGTTATGTGGCTGCACCTATTTTAGATGGCATTTCTGACCAATTCTGATTATATACCTGGGTTCACATGTAATAATTGTAATAGTAAGGAGTTTGAGTCGGTTTAATTATGGCACGACTTGCATTCTTGGGAAAATAGTGTGACAGAGTGATCATAATGTAGAAGGGATTTCTTTTGACTAAAATATTTTATTATTTTGTATTGATGTTTTATAGGTAATGAACTGCCATTATTAAAGGATGTACATTAACTGTGAAACAGTCAGAAACACCATCCAAGTCTAGGCACATGACAGACAGTGGGAACTTCATTAATGAGGTGTTCCCTCTGCTATCCATCCTGATTCCCCAAGGAAACAAAAAACCAACCTTATCCTGCTTCATTTTGGAGTTTTCTTTCTCTTTCTTTTTTAGCTCTGCCATAAATTCCACAAACAAATTCTCCCTGTCCTTCATTTTCTCAATCCCTTTGAATCGATCATCCTTCCCGTACTTCATGGCAAACTCACTGAAAGCTGTTCTGTAAGGGAAAAGTTGAATGTTTTCAAAGGTATTTCGATATACAGTCCACATGTAAGTATTCATTCAACAATCTCTAGCTTTCTTCTTATTGTATGGTACCAAACAGTAATGTAGTAAGTAATTCACAGTAAGTAGTTTAAATAGCAATTCATCATCAATTTAAGGTGGCTCCGTAATTAATACAATAGCATTTTGCTGTGACAAATTTTCCGTCATAACTTTTTCGATTTTAACGCGATGGCTGCGAAACTTTGCAAAAAACAACAGATATCATTCGGCAATAATACGAAATATTCCGATTTCATTGATGGCAAATATTTCTTGAGAAATTAGCGCTTAAAAGGACCCTACTGTTCAAAGAAAATCGCGTCTAGTAAAAAATTTTGCTGATATTTTTTACTGAAATTTCTGGTATCGGCTTTAATTGATATAATAAATATGCTAGAGGAATTTCAGAAAAATCGTTGGAGCAGAAGTCCGTAACTAAAAGTTGCTCAAAATTCAGCTGTGAAATTGTTTTGGAATTTCAAAAATAAATTACTATCAGGTAGAAGGAACCACCAGTTTGAATTTTCGGGACAAGTAAATGCAACGTTTGCTAATTCTTAAAACAAAAGCCGATTGCCTATCGTGCTATTCTTTAAAAGGTACTTTTTAGTTTTAGAAGCACTATAAATTGCTCCAAACCTTGCTCTGAAGTAGAATGACTTGTTCTTCGACAGTTTTAAAATATCCCGTGGCAGTTTTGGCTCAAACTCCTGCTGCATACATTTTGATGTATTGCAATGCATTTTCAACGACTTTTACTGCTGTTCGTTGCTTCCAACTCAGGAAAAAAGTATTGAGATTTGACGCTACCTCGTATCAGAGCTCAGAAAGAACTGTCCAGCACCTTTGTTTATGACTACAAAATGAGCACGAGCGGCAGTTCTGCGAGGAATTCGCACCTCACCCAGGGGGGACGAACAACAATGATGACCATGCCTGTGAACCGAATAACATCACAGTGCAAAATAAAATTATCGCAAAAATACTGCCCGTGAATAAATTTACAACTCTGAAATTTTTGTCACTCCTTCCTTCAATGAATGGGTATTTTTTTCTTGATTATTATGTTTTGCTCTGCAATACATGTTTGTACAGATCGGTTCACAGACATGGGCATCATCGTCATTCGTCCCCCCTGGCTGAGGTGCGAATTCCTCGCAGGGCTGCCGCTCGTGCTCATTTTCTGGTCATAAACAAAGGTGCTGGACAGTTCTATCTGAGCTTCAATACAAGGTAGCTTACAATCCCAATACCTTTTTCCTGAATTGGAAACAACGTAAGGCAGGAAAAGCCGTTGAGGATGCATTGCAATACATCAAAATGTATGTAGCAGGAGTTTGAGCCAAAACTGCCAAGGGATTTTTTAAAAATGTCGAGGAACAAGTCATTAGACATCAGAGCAAATTTTGGAGCAATTTATAGTGCTTCTAAAACTAAAAAGTACCTTTTAATAATTAGCACGATAGGCAATCGTCTTCTGTTTTCAGAATTAGCAAACTTTGAATTTACTTGTCCCGAAAATTGAAACTAGTGTCTCCTTCTTCCTAATAGTAATTTATTTTTGAAATTCCAAAACAATTTCACAGCTGAATTTTGAGCAACTTTTAGTTACGGACTTCTGCTCCAACGATTTTTCTGAAATTCCTCTGGCATATTTATTATATCAATTAAAGCCGATACCAGAAATTTCAGTAAAAAATATCAGCAAAATTTTTTACTAGACGCGATTTTCTTTGAACAGTAGGGTCCTTTTAAGCGCTAATTTCTCAAGAAATATTTGCCATCAATGAAATCGGAATATTTCGTATTATTGCCGAATGATATCTGTTGTTTTTTGCAAAGTTTCGCAGCCATCGCGTTAAAATCGAAAAAGTTATGACGGAAAATTTGTCACAGCAAAATGCTCTTGTAATAATTACGGAGCCACCTTAAATACAACATGATCCAGGATTCAAAGCTGTTTCTTGGTACATGTATATTTTGTATTTTATATTTTTTCTTGATAGCAAAAGTATTATTTTTAGTACTTTTGACTTTTACGTTATAGGCTATGTACTTTAATTAGTATGTTTTTAATTAATGTACAGCATAAGCTGTATTGGCTTAAATTTTTAAATGTTGCTGTTGTTGACAGATTTGGCAGAAATCAACAAACTTACTTTCCAGCAGTTCGAGCTTCTTCCACCAGTGCTTTAAATTCATCTTTCTTTGCTTTCAGTTTGTTCTTTCTCTCCTGCCTCTCCTCATCAGCCCGAGTGCGTACAAACTTTTCAAAGCACTGCTTTCGCTCTTTTTGGGTCAGCAATAAAAATCGTGGGTCAAACACTATTTTTGGTAGCTCTTTCTCCCAAGTTGAAAATGCCGAAACCTGAAAAATAAGCCAAATTAAAACCATTAACAAGGAAAAAGGAAATTTTTTTGTTATCATTCAAGGGAGGATTTTGTTACTTTCTAATTAACAACATGCTAAAGTTTTGAATATATGAAAATCATCCTTCATTTAAAAACATGCTCTTAGGAACTCCTACAATTTAAGGAGGAAGTGTGTGACTAGCCAAAGGAACTTTTTCTTTTCAGGGTAATGAACTTTTTCAATTGTGCCAATAGAAGATGGAGTCACATCAATATTTTTCTTAAAGTTCATACAACTTATTTTTGGTGACTTGTTAACTCACTCACTTTTTTCTTTAAGAGGACAGCTTTATGCATAAAGAGCCTTCACTAACTAAACTGTAGGTGGGGTGGGTTATTGACGACACTGCCCAACCCCACAGGTGTTAGACTGATGCTTTGTCAGATCTCCAGAACAGTCAAGTAAAGTCTAGCAACATTACATCTTTCTGATCCACAACTCGTGCACTTACTGATCTTTCAAGCAGCATATCTCTGAACTCTTTCATTCTCTCCTCCAGTGACATCATCTTTTTGTCTTTTGGAGTAGTAGCTCTTGTTACTTGGGATACAGGAGCAGGCTGTTCAACTGGTTTCTGCGGCTCAACAATTTCAGGCTGAACAGGAGAAGCTTCCACAACTTCTACAGTCTTCATCTCAACATCTTCTAATTTCTCACCTTGACTTTCAGTCCTGTACAAAAGAATCATAGTGAATGAATAATTAAATGAAATTGTCAGGGTTTATGTACACTGTTTTTTGCCCAATTCATCTAAGAGCATAGAGCTCATTGACGACACTGCAATATTGTATCCAGCAACAAAAACAATTCCTTTTTTCAGTTGTTATTGTGATTAATAAAATATTATCCTTCGTCCAATTTTTACTTCATTTGTTTCTAGCTCATTATTGCATAATATCATTAAAGGAGATTGTTGAATTTGCATCATAAACACCCAAGAAAATCGTTATTTATCATTGTTGCCTTGAAGGCTTACAAAAAGGGAAAGAAGGTGTCCTCTGAATACCCTTGATTTGTTTGAAATTTTTTGTTCTCCTGTTAATATTGGATTGAGAAAGATTTAGTCTCACATACCTCTGTTTCTTTGCAGGAGGAGCATCATCAATAGTGTCATCTGACATAGAAGACCTGTGTTCTTTTTCTGCAGTATGAAAAAGATAATAACACTAAAGGACTGAGTAATACCAGAAACTCATAAGGGGTTGAAATGTGTAACTCTCATATGTTTGCTTTGTCCGATGCTCGTGATTATGCATTTTCGAAAGTACCATATTTGGAACGAGAAGAAGAGATAACTGACCAATCAAACTTCGTAAACAACGTGACGTAATTTTCCTTCAGGTTCCCGCGCCCGCTTAAAAAAATGGCCGACAAACGGGGGAAAAACTCCCGAAAGCCGAGAAAGCTTTCAAAGGTTGAAAAGCTTAAATAAATGAGATGTTGTAGTCACGACCGTGTTTTGAGCAAATTTTATGAATGAACAAACTCAAAACAATAGACAGAGAAGCCGTTTCTTGAAAATTTTTATTCAAAGTCCAAAAAGTTAATCCTTTAGAGCAATTCGGAAAACACTATCTGGATCGTGGATCCGTTCACGCAAGTAACATCAGGTAAGCACATGGCAAAATTCAACACAAAATCCATCTCAAATCAGGGCACATTTTGTTATTTTTCTTTAGCGCCGAAGAGAAAAATTTTTAAAACGTCTATGAAACATTTAAAAATACATAAATTCCCTTTCAAAGACGTAATTGTCTTGGCCTTAGAGTGCAAAATGTACCTGAAAATTCAGCAAAAACTTCACTGACTTGGTTGCATTTCAAAACAGACCATGGGCTCCGCCGTGAAGAAAACAAGGTTGAATTCCTCGAAGGACAATTTCTTGATGAAAAGCTTCCCTTTCTCCACAAAAAGAAAGCTGAGCATTCTTTTGAACTTTCTCTTTCCATTTTTTGTCTTTTAACGGCGTATTTTTAACCTTGAAATGCAGAACTCTTGTCTTAAAACATCTGCATGGTGATCGCGCAGGAGCCATTTTGTTGAAAATGGATATCCATCACTAAGATTTCCAAATATGGTCAAAATGAATATTCACAAGCATTGAACGTGAGTTGCACGTTTCAACCCCTTATGGGTTTCTGGTAATACTAATACATGTATTTAATTAAGGAGAAATATATTGACTTTGTTCTTGGAGAAGAGTGAGCATTTCACATCAATTCTCAAGAATAAGACCAAAAAGGGAAAGAGGGTGTCCTGGGGAATTTAAGAAACTGATTGGAAAAGTTAGATCCAAACCCCAATATGTAATTTAATTATTACTACATATTGGGGTTTGGATTACTCAGCTACAAAATAATATTGTGTAAAAATGAAATAACTGAACTTGGCTTTTTCTACCTATCTGTTTATACTACAGTGTACCCTATACTGAAAATGCATCAATTTTGTGTAGATGAAATAAAAATAATTATAAACCATGGTAAGAAATACATTATCCATTCCATTTCAGAGGGGAAGGTTATTATCTTAACATTAATCACACAATGACCAAAGAGCTGTACTTCATTGAAATGAGTTACAGTGTATGTGACAGAAACCTGCTTTTAAGTCCAGCACCTTAAAAATTTATTTTAATCCAAACTAGTAAATGTACATACTTTTCACTTCATCAGGCTGCTTTTTAGGTGGGCCCTTGCTAACGAGCTCATCAACTTTATCATTATCTTCAAGTTCATCAGGTCGTTCCCATATTGAGAGCCTTGAGGTAGGATTAAAGAAGAACATCTTTTCATCTCCAGTCCAAACAACACACCAGCTTGTTCCTGGGATAAGTTGACTAGCAACAGGTTTACTCTTGTCCTCATCTTCAGCATGTATCTCATCTTTAATTTCTTCCAATTTTTCCTTCTCATCCTCTGTTTGAAATGATCAACAACCAAAATATTAATTTGGTTAAAACATTTTGGTTGAACTCTCTAAAATGAACTTAGAATCACTCTAGTGATGGATTCTCTTTCACATCATTTTTATCCTTATTCAGGTCATGTAGAGAATCTTTTCATATGCCATTGCTGCTGTTGCTGTTGTTTTTCAACGCTACATCTATCAAAAAGAGGACTTCTTTCTAAATTATCTATTTATTTAGCTATCTATATTTGTTGTTGATAATTCCCCTCTCTGTTACACATTCTTCAATGCCCCCTTTTTGATCCACATCAGTATTACAAACACAGAGAAAAAAGAATTCAGATTGCCACTACTGTGGACTGACTTCACAACCTACTGATTCTTAGTCTTGATGTCCACAAGACAAAAAAGACAAGTTTCACATTTCATGATTTTTCTTTTACTAACACCAGCCTTTGAGTCTCATCCTTACCATAGTTACCCTGGCCCTGGTGCCTATACTAGTTTTAACTTCACTTTCTCATGTTACCTTGTCAAATTAAAGCTAAAACCAAAATTACCTGATTGACAAAAACACACACAGACATCACCACAAACTACACACAAATAATTTATAGCAAACAGATATTTTGGACTGCACCGGTCTGAACATACCCTTTTCTGCAGTGTTGTCTTCAGTACTTGATTCTTCTTTCTTCTCACTTTTATTATTTTCTTTGTCTTTATCTCCAGCATCAGCCTGAGAGGATGGATTTTGCACCACTCCAGGATTGTTGACTGGCGGTGGTTGTTGTTGTATTCCTGGTCGAACCATTCCAGGTAAGAGACCAGGGGGTATCATTCCAGGAGGCAGCATCCCTGAAGGACATCAACAAGAACACAACATCGGAGACTTTTTTTAATTGATCTTTTATCACAATAACTACAATACTCATCAAATTTCATAGAAACACTGGACAGAAACTGAGGATTGTTCATGTCGTTCTTCTCAACCAGCTTATTATTTTAACTTTTCCCGAGTGTACATGTACTTCTTCTCTTCTTTCTCAATGTTGAACAATGTTAAATCTTTACATATGGGTGATACATGATCCATGGCTATGAAAACAAACAAGTAAAAACCAAATCTTGTAACATATACATGCAAACTCAACCAACCTGGTGGTGGCATGCCTTGCATTGGCATTGGAACTTGATCCATCTCCTTTGGACGCTCCCAGGTTGACTGCAAGGTTCTTGAGTTGTAATAGTACACTCGACCATCTGTTGTACGGTGCTCAGACCACTCACTTTTGGGAACAGGAGGGGGCATACCCATTGGAGGCATCCCAAGACCAGGGGGTGGCATACCAGGTGGGGGGATATGTGGAGGCATCATACCAGGTATCATCCCAGGCAGTGGAAGCCGTGGAGGGGGCATGCCAGCCATAAATCCACCAGGTGGAGGCATGCCAATATTGCTTCAAAGAATAATAATAAGTTAACACAGAGTCAGTGCTAACGTAATGTTATTTTATGCTTTTAGATGAGATAAGAAGCAAATTTTGTACAGTACAGGAACAAGGAAGACACGTATTTCAGGGGGCAGGAAATTGGGTCATAAAAAAAACCCCGCACATTCACATGAATAACAAGTAGATCTCAGAGAACTTAAAAACGTAAAGTGGCGGTCTTTCATTTTTACATAAATAAATAAGGATTTAGAGGCAACACTTCCACTAAGTGGTTCTTCAGCTACTTGATTGCTGGTTGAACTGGAATTCGGAAATGTTGGTTTTTGAGGAGAGAAAAGTGCTCTCACCACTGCACCACCATTGCTCCCCCAAAAATAGAACGTAAATAGGTTTTTGGTGAAGATGAAAAGTAACACAGAGTTTCTTACAATTATTGCACAGGCACAAAAGAAAATACACGATGAAAAAGGGGATTACAAGAAGCTTCTACATCATGTACATATAGTCGACTCTGTATACCCTCAAAAACAAACTGTGCGTACCTTTGTTGTGGAGGCTTGCTATTTCCTCCAGTTTGCTGCTGACTCTGTTGTTGACTGGTTCCATGTGTTTTATCTTGCTCTGCAGATGTTTGTTGCTGTTGTTGTCCTTCAGTAGGGATATTTTGTCCCTGCTAATTCACAATATTTAATTTCAAATCAAGCTTTTTTAGACAACAACACAATCTGTACATATTTTAAAACCCAAAACTTACAACTGTGTAGCAAAAGTATTACATATTCAGACAACTGTAACAGTAGTTGAGAGTCTGAAAATGTTCAACACATAATTGATTTTATTATATACAAGTCAGTGGTATACCGTGTGGTAGCAAATCATTAAATGAGCTATCCCGTCAGTGATGATATCATTTGTATCCACACATGTGTGATATCACTTTTGACCAATCACCTCACAGTATTTTCATGTGTTGTCAAGCACTTGTGGTTTTCCTATTTGGTGTTTTCAGAGTTTGCGTTGGTCATTTCGCCTATTGAAGTTAAGTTTTAAGTTTTTTTCTAAAATGGAGACAAGCAGGTTTGTCCAGATCACAGATAAGGAACTTATCAAATTCATAGAAAAAAAAAAAGGAAAATCTGAATACATAGAGGAAGACTGTGTGCGAAGGCAAGTCATTCAGAAAAACTTACTTTTTTTCATTCAGACCAACAAACTCGGAGTTACGTTGGTTCAAAATCTCTTCATGAGCTTTCACTTGAATCAAGTTAACAAGTCCACCACCTTTTGAAATTCATCTTTAATTGGCATTAGAAAAAAAGATGGCTCCGACTAAGAACCCACAAGTTTGAGGGGATTACTTTCATGCATCCAGAGATATCTGAACAAACAGAACTTTGGTTTCACATTTTGTACTGAAGTTGTGTGTTTAAAAGTACAATGGCTACTCTCAAAGCAAAATGAAAAGAACCAAAGGCCAAGGGACTGGGAAACAAGCCTAGGACATCAGATAGCCTAAAAGACAAGGAAATTGAAAGACTGTACGCTTCCAAATGCCAAGGGTTTGAAAGCACTCAAGGCATTATAACACTTTGTAGCTAAATTCATCTTTTCTTTTCTGCCTTTGCAGCAGAAAACTGACAGAGAGAGTGACTCTGGGGAGATGTCAAACCCAAGCAAACGCCCAACAGAAAAGAGTATTTGTTGTATTGGGAGGATTTTATATAATAAAAAGAAAATTACATGGTCGCTTGGAGATAAGAAATTTTTCTTCTCGTGTTGAAAATATTTCACTCGTTGCTGCACTCTCTTGTATAATATTTTTCAACACTCAAAGAGAAATTTCGTATCTCTGGCCACCTTGTAATATCCTCTATCTCTACACTGTTTATACACCGGTTTGCATGGTACTCAAGGAGAGAATGACTATTTTCAGAACACCGCCCAACATAACAACAGCTTGCAGAAACAAATCAAGTCCAAGTTTAGAGGTGTACGAGTTACTAAAATCCACATGGTATTACATGCACTTGAACTTCAACCTCTGAGCCTTTCTACATTATTAATAATATTATTATCCTACAAATGACAAAAAGATTACATTTAACTTGCACTAAAATTGAATTTTTCAAACCTTAACCTTGCGATACAATACATCATGGTATAGTTAGTATATTACCTGTGTTTGTTGAGCAAGTTGTTGTCCTTGCTGGGTTTGTGGCTGATCTTGAGAAGGAGGGGTGACGAGATTCTTTGGTTTTTCCCATGAAGATTCTCTTGTCCGTGCATTGTAATAGTAGACTTTTCCTTCAGGTGTCTTGTGTTCAAGCCACACGTCTCCATTGCTATCAATCATGGGAGGATCTTTGTTCTGTTGTTGCTGAGGCATGGCCATGTTCTGTGGCATTTGCTGATTTGGCATCATTTGCAAAGGCATTTGATTTGGCATCATTGGCCTAGACTATTAAAACATGTTTAAAACAGCATATTAAAGTTAATTCCCATTACCGAGCTAAAACACTAATTCATGGAACTCGATTTAATGCATCAACATTTCATACTGTTAAAAGAGTCACACACAAATATATGTAAGCTGCAGTAGTTTTTCATTTAGCCTGTTGCTTAAAAACTAAGTAATTTTTAATAAATAAATGATAAAATAAATAAACCCCACCCTGTACAAGCACAAAAATAATGATACTTTGGAAAAATTTGGATTATTTGCCAGTTTCATTTAAAGCACCCTTTCCTACCACAAATACTTCAATTTTACCTTGAAGAACAAAATTTGCTTTTTATACCTGTAGATTTGGCATCATAGGAGCATTCCCTGGAGGTCCTCCAAAAGGCGGTCTCATATTGTTCATCATGCTCCTTGGATCATAAGGCCCTCTCATAAACTGACCTGGAGGGGCACCTGGAGGTTGACCTAACAGAGATCCTCTTGGTCCTTGTCCCCCCGGGCCCCTTGGTGGAGGTCCTCTTACATTCGGTGGAAGAGTCCTTTGGGACATAAGGGGTGGTGGCATACTACTCCGCATAGCTTTTCAAGTCTGAAAATTAAACTGACAAAAATTTTTCAGAATTATTAAAAGATCAAATGTTCACAATTTCTACTGGCCACAATACTTTCTACCAAGACATTAACCTTTGCAGATAAGGCTCAGTGCCAGCAGCAAGCAACCTTTGCCACACTGAGAACTTCAACACATAAGGCTAATCTGTTTACACTATAAATGCATTATTTGTCTTCAAATAAAATTTTATGTGACAATTTAGCCTTACGTAGTTTATGAATACAGTAATGTGGAAAGAGGCTAGGAACATGGAATCGAGGGTACTGATTTGAATTTTGAATTCAAGATGGCGTCTTTAGGTAATGTCGTATTTATTGATCGACGTATAATGGATGTCGCGTTCTTGATCTCGTTGACACACAAAAATTTTTCCTCAGTGTCAGAACAGGTGAGTTTTCTCTCTCTTTATTGTGTTAATTTAGTTGTTCATTTTGTCTGGTTCATAGTTTATTCGCATCGATGGCCGTAACTTGCAACTCATTTTCACCTTCCAATTGGCTTTTAATGACTTTTAACCATTTTCAACAACATTTCTGGCTGGTGCCGCATCGTTTCGGTTTTTTGTACATACGAGCGATCTGACCTTTCAATTAATTATTTCTTTCAGTCCAAAATGGCTTTGTGTGTCCCGAAAGTAATGATACTTGGTCATTCTTTCGTTCGACGCCTCAGTGGTGACTTGGAGAATCATTTTGACAATCGTGCCAAAAGCAACTTCGACCTCGAAGGTGTTAAGGTCCGTTTATTTGGTATTGGCGGAAGGACGGTTAAGAAAATTAAGCAATTTGACGTCGCGAATGTCTCCCGCTTTGCACCAGATGTTGTAATATTAGAAATAGGTACCAATGACCTTTGTAATGAACCACCAGAAACGGTTGGTTCTCAGATTGACGAATTAGTCGAGTTGTTGTTGAACCATTTTTCTGTTAGGGTAGTTGGAGTTTGTCTGGTGATTAAGCGAGCTGAGCCAATGTTTAATACGAAGGTAGAAGTGTTAAATCGTTATTTAAGTGTCGTCGTCGACCGCCCCAGAGTGTTTGTATGGCGACACAAGATTTTGGACTCTCCAAGCCATGATTTCCTGTTGGAGGACAGAGTTTACTTAAATCCTCGTGGCCAGTATTTACTTTATAGAAGTTACCGAGGTGCAATTCTAAAGGCTGTGAACATTTTGAATAAGTTTGAGTGAATAATGCTCGGGGCAAATACATTGTGTTGCCAATCGTCCGCTTCATTTTGTAGGGTTTATGTTGTTGGCAATATCGATATTATCTAAATCGATATAAAAGCAATTATTAATTTTAGCTGAAAACCCAAATCGAATGTGAGCTTATGGTCATTTCGATGTGAATAAAACTATGATTGTATTTTCAGTCATAAATTACAAACTGACGTATGTTGTTACAAAAACATCCATTCTTGTTAGGTGTATGTTCATGTTGTTATGTCCTGTTTTGTCATTTAATTATGTGTTTGAGCCATGCTGTGCATGGATTTTTGACCAATCAACGTTGTTGGTCTTTTCACTTCTGTCCAACCAGAGGTTGTTGGAATGTTCTTGTTTAATTATGTTTTTGTGACATGTTTCGGCATGGATTTGTGACCAACGTATGGTTTTGGTCTTTCTGTTTTTGTCCAACCAGAGGTTGTTGGAAGGTTTTTGTGGCATTATAGGGACAGGCATTTTTATGTGTTTCGGCGACATGTGTAGTCTGCCAAGCCATCCCTGCCATAGTTTATGTAATATTGAGATATTGAAATAACATGTCAAAGACTAATTATAATAAACTTATGATCCCCTATTTACATAATGAAACAAACTGGAGCAAGGTAATTATAATTGGAAGACACTGTCTGAAATAACATCAACATTTCTTTCACATCCTTTCTGTGTTCCATGTTAAGAGCTATCCCTTATATAACTTCTGTTCCTTTAATTTACCTTGTTTTATGCTTTTGTTTTGCTTTGTTTTTGTTTTTCTTTAAACGTATTTTCAGGCACGCACGTGCTTCTGGTATAGAAGCTGCTGCGCCCTAGAGTATTTTGCGGGTAATGACAAAAAACGATAGCGATGACCTTTTCTTTGAAGGAAATGAAACTGTATTAAGATTTAGTGATTACACCTTGGTCGGAATTATACGGTGTTTGTCGGTGCACGCAAATCATAAAATCATGTATCAACTCTTAAACTTCAAGTGGTGAAAAGCATGGGTTATTTGCTCAACATGTTCCAAGAACGAAAGTTCAAAAAAGCTTATGAAAGTGATCATATGCATGAAATGAACTCACATAAACTCGGTAAGCTATAAACTCCAGAGACGAGATCGAACGAAGGTTTGGGTAAAAATATTACGGATTCCTCGTGAAGCACTCAATGAAAATGCACGTCAGAGTAACTGCTCATCTTACCTTTCTTGTTGCCCGCTGTTATAGATTGACTTTGAGGTAAAAATGTTGCTTCTGGAATCAATTGCCTTTCAAGAACATGATGGACAGCCACCAAAAGCCGCCATTTTCATTTCCCATGAAGCTTTCTGGTAATAATTCAAATTCCCGGATTGAAATAAAATTGAAAGGAGAGGTCGCATGGCGATTGCCGGGAACACGTGTCCTGGTGTTTATCTTTCCGTGTTATTCTTGAATGAATTTCATTTCATCAGCAAGCACTTGGTTTAGGGGTATATATCGCATCCGTAGAGACCTCTATTTTTTTGCTTATTATTATTTTTTTCGCAGTATACCAGGACACAAACGACCAGTCCCTGGTGCTGGGATTGAAGAGATGTTTTGCCTGAGTGCAGACGTCTCCTTATTTTCCTTTGTTGCACGCGGGTACGAGTTTCTGTATTATGAGATCATCAACACCTGCATGATTTGGCATGATCAGTAAGAGCACATCAATCCTTACTAAAGAAACAAGATTCAGCCATTCAAAAACTTGAAAATTTACAAAGAAATGAATATGGGTTACTAAGTCCATAAATTTTGGAGTCTATCTTGTTCCAATATTAGCACCAATGGTGTGCCCTTTTCCATTAATGATTATGTAGGCCTTGTAGTGTTCATAATTGCATCATTAATCGCATAATGGGAATTGAAACACATACTTTTGTACCCAGTCCCCATGATATGAAAGGTAGCAATGTAGAGAGCTAACTATTAAAATAATTTATCTTTATTGTATTTGTGTGGCAGGTGTGGTTAAACTTTAAGAGTGGTACAGTCAGCCACAATTCAGGACACTGATCAAATTATTATTGACCATCACAACTCAAAAAGTTGTACCATCAGCTCAGCACAGAAAGAAACATAAACTTAATGGCCTCCTCACCAAGTTGTTTGAAGGCTAATTGTTAGTGGAAATGCCAGGTTTGGTTACCACAAAAACGAGAAGTCCAAAGACTACTGCATCGCTGTCAATAGAGATCCAACATTGATAACCAGCAGGATCTTCGTTCACGGTTTTTACAGTTAATTTCATTTAATTCCTTTACCTGGTTACCACGTCAACCAGGCACCCTTAATGTTGAGAAGGCATTTTCCATGCCAGGCTAATGTCACCTATTTTACAGACCAGTTTATTTTTAGACACACTTTAGAGCAGTTATTCCCACAAAAATGGAAGCTTCACTTGATCTGTCTATGAATGCATTGGAAGAATAAGATTTTAAAAAAACTATGGTTATTAAAAATAATGGTTAAATTACCATTTATTTTTTAGATCTGTAGGCTTTGCTGGCTGGTTTGTGGGACTTAAATGGTCTTCTTTTATAAATTTGCACCAAAATCGTTCTCAAAATAAAGTGGTCTGTGATAATGACATGACTCAAGTTAAGGATCATGGAAGCTAGTCGCTCAAAGTGTTATGTCCTATAACTTGAACCCCATCAAAATGTATATTAATTTTTAATATTACCTGGTTTCTGTTATAACTTCTTGTTTTAGATGCTAGTAGTATTGTTTCTTGAAACAGGCCAATCTAAGCCTATGTACAAACTAACATTTCTTTTGACACTCAGTTATAAAACACTGAATGAGCTTGTTTATAAAAGCGGGCAAATTAATTTCACTGGTCCAACATGACCAGAAAAAAGCTGAGTTCTTTCTATGTTTGGTGGTCTACACAAAAAGGTAGTGAATGGGCTTCAAATAACATTAAAGGCTAGCAAAATTTTAGAAAATTTCTCCGAGTCTATCATCTTGTATAGCATTATATTATTTCAAATAGTTCACTTCATCTAAGACTCTTCTAAACCCATATTTTATAGTCTTGCAGCATAATAATTTTTGAAGTACCATAGTAGGATTGCAGACAAAACTGCTGCCTTATATTTAGAGTCACCCAAAGTTTTGAAATATTCACCATTCATGACCTTTTGTTTTAGAGGATACAATAAAAGAAAATATTATAATTATTTATCATAAATTTTCTATGGTTAAAGGTGACTAGGTCACTGCAATTACTAGGTAACAGTGCTAGCTAGACTTGCTGTTAAGTCTCACCTCCCGAGTTCTTTTTTTCCTTTTTTACTTTAGGTTTAAAATAGTTTATTACCTAAGTTGCCTTTGTTCTTTTACTCCATCAGGGATGTCACTAAGATTTCAATTTGCCGGGTAAATACAACACATAGGCGGGGAATCAAACAGCTAGGGGTTTCTTTTGGTTCTATTTTTCTTCTATTTTCCTTTGAAAGTAACCGGGGGGCACATTCACAGTAGCCCGGAAAAAACCCCAGCCCCTGCCTCTTAATGACAGCCCTGGACTCTATACATTTTAAGACAAACAACCTTTCATAATATAATTAATAATAAGAAGTACAAATATGTTACTCACACTATATGTTATGTACTACAAAGTGATAACTTCAGTGGCTGCATACATAATGCATGCCAACAACCTGATTAATTGCTGTAGTTATTTCATGTAGTACACTAAGCTGGCACTTTAGCCTTCACAATTAATTGATGATTTTTATTTCTAAGAAGCCAGAATCCTCAATATTAGCTACCGATCTCATCCACTTTTACTAGCTGAAAATTATCAAAAGCTCATCACCCCGGAACCTGAATCACTCCATCTATAAGAATTTTAAGCTATATACTGATACAGATTCATATTTCGTGTGAGAGAAACTCTAAGCCAATCAGGGCAGCAGAGTAGCCCTTCTAGAAAAACAAACGGCAACGGTTGAAGGCAAAGTGTCAGTCAGAGGTTTTAATTTTTAAACCCATAATCACTCTTCTTCTTCTTCCAATAGTGAAGAACTCAGCAGATTTTTGCAGGAAGAGAAATCCAACTAGACAGAGAAGTGGAATCAGCTAGTCTGATAAATATTTCATAGTTGGCAGCAGATGGAGGTCTGAGCTGATAGGCTCCTTACATGATTTAGTTGCCTGCAAACTTTGTATTTATTTATAGTAACATCATGAAAGTACCTTAAGCATTCACATGGTGTCACATAATCAAGAAAGGCATTAGAAAACATCACTAAGAACTATGCAGATTGCACCTGGAGACAAAACTTATAGGTGCAGCAAAATAATGGTTTTTTTTATGTTATGTTATGAAATAATATTATATACAATTATACAATAATGACATTATGTCGGGTAAAAATAATTATAATGTTAACTTACCAGTAATGATAATTTATTGTACACTCTACTGAAATGAACATTTTATACCTTGAACTTTTCTTATAATAATTTGTTCTCCTTTTAAATAAATCACGTAACAATAATAATTATTATTGAATAGTTTTAACCTGTTAACTATAAGTAAAAGCCTTCTTCCTTAGATACAGTTGAACCTCTCCTAGACATGACAGTACAAACACTTCTGTGTAAAGGAAAACTATTATCATTAAATGCTTCCAAATTAAGATAATCATAACGGACACAGTCCATGGACACCTATGTATTTTTATGGACACTTGCCTATGTCCCTTCTGTAATGCAGACACTTGGATCTGTCCCTTTGATGTCTATATTAAGGAGGTTTGATTGTTAATTTATGGACACTGGACACCAAGATAAAATATTTATGTTCACTTGGCACTTGATTAATGGCTCTGTGCCTTTGGTGACCAAATTTATGAGGTTAAAATCTGTAAATTTTTTATCATACAAATTTTATCTTCAAGAATAAAACAATTTTAGGAAAAGGGGCTATAATAACTAATTTCTGCTCTTGAAGACTATTAATCTAACTGATATTAGTTACTACAACCGCATTTTTCTTTTTCACTTCCCTCGGTCTTAATTAATCCATAATCCATGCTGTCTCCAAGCACAAACGCTCTTTGCTGAGCATGGTTATCTTTAACATGTTTATTTACCAGCTCTGCTAGCATTGTAAATGCTTCTGTCACATTTGTAGCATTCTTTGCACTGGTCTCTATAAATGGCATGTCATTGAGTGCCGCCCATTCAGCTCCACTTTCAGTGGAGACTTGACGTTCTGAATCAAGATCTGTCTTGTTTCCTACCAGTATCATCAATACCCCCTCATTAGCATAAGTTTCCACCTCATTAAGCCATTTGTTGAGGTTGTTAAAAGTTTCTTTTTTTGCTATATCATAGACTATCATGACACCATGAGCTCCTCTGTAGTATGAAGATGTAATTGTTCTGAATCTCTCTTGACCAGCTTGAATAAAAGAAACAGAAAAGATGTTAACTGAGATTTGCCTCTAACATGTTTACTGTTGGAAGTAGTCCTTAGTCTGAAATATTGACTGGTTTCCAATATGACTATACAGGACTGTTAACTCTCCCGGATAATCCAGGAGACTCCAGATTTTGTACCGTTTCTCCTGGTCTCTAGATTAGAGTCTGAAATCTCCCGGATAATAGCCGAAGTTTTGCCATTTCTTGTAGATTTGATTTTCTAAAAATGAAATGTCAAATATTTTTTCTCATTTGAGCTATTTTACTGCTAACATCAACCGTTTCCTCACAAACTCCATTATGCCGTTGTATTAAAATTAATATACGCAATGATGTGATTGGTGGGAAGTAAACCAATTATGTCAATATTATTGTTACAATTCTAAAAACATCTTTTTCACACATTTTTTTTCACAAATGGCATCATGTATTATCCCTTCCCCATCAATTCTCAATTTGAAGATGTGGGGGGGGGGGGGGGGGGGGGGGAGGGGACAGGCTTGCTACAGATATAGTTGCCACAAGAAACTTCCAAGGGGTTCTGCTCAGGTACAAAATGAAGCAGAGGTGCAAATGAAGCAGAAGTGTTGTAGGTGTAAAAACTCCTATGAGGCCAAAATCAGCCCTAAAAAGTAGACCAATGGCCCAGAACTTGAACCAACAATAGTACACTTATGAATTAACTGCTTCTTGATCTAAAAGCATGAAGTCTCTTAGTCATGTACACATGGCTTTCATCTAAAAATGAAACTGAAAAAAATAGGATCTCTGGGTTATGCTTTTTGTCAACGCTAAAGAAGTCTGCACCAAAGTCTTTTACCCAAGGAAAGACATTGTATGACACTAAATCTGCAAAGACGTCGTAGGAGAGCAATAAGAATCATGTTTACGGCAAAAGTCAAATTCTAGTGGACAATTTCTCAAATATAGAAAAGAAATTTTTTTAAAAGATATAAGTAAATGACAGGTGAAGAAAAAACTAACGTTGGTTTGGTGGTACAAATTGATACAGTGAAACCTGTATTAAGCGGACACCCTCGGGGAATGCTCTAGTGTCCGCTTAATACATGGTGTCTGCCTAATACAGGTTTCGATATATAATGTCATATGAAGTGTCAAATGCCATTCAAATGAACAGTGGAAGCGTTTATAATACTCCCAGAGACTATGACGATAGACGTGTGCATTAATTTCTTTATCAAAGTGAACCAATTGATCATAGTACCATAAACATAGATTGCAACTCACATTTGAAGAAATCAGATGAGTGAAGCAAGCTCTATACAAACAAAACGAAATAGAAAACAATCCTGTACTGTGAAGCTAATCAAATAAGTTCATCAAGTCACGTTTTTTGATGTAAAAATCGAAAAAATTTGTGGGTGGCAATTCGGGGCAATCTTTCTCATTTCCGGGGTCTGGCATGTTGGGTGGTGGAATTTAATTACAAGTGTCCGTTTAATACAGGTTAGCAACAATAAAAATGGCCCTTTTTAGGTTTTTTTAGGTGTCCGCATCTGCTTAATAGAGGTGTCCGCTTAATAAAGGTTTCATTAAAAGTAAATAAGGGAAATAAATTTGGGGACTTTGGCTACTGTCCGCTTAATAGAGGATGTCTGCTTAATACGGTGTCTGCTTAATACAGGTTTCACTGTTATTGGTTTTTGCCATAAATGTGACGTCAAACCAGGGAACAGAGGCTTCACACATTCCCATCATCACTATCATACCATACATTTTGAGTCATCCTCTCCCAACACCACTCCTCCCAGGAATCAGCCAATATCAAAGATATGATCTGTGATTAAGCATTCTTAAATTCCCAAAATAAACCATGAGGACTGATCAAAGATTATAACTGCTTACTCAAGGTGCATGCCAATTGTCACTGGTTCATTCAATGCATTATAATATGCCATAACCACCCTTTGTTTATTTGTAATAAAAAAAAGAATTGATTTGCGTGCGAATGTTGAATTTTTCGCCCAATATAATTTTTAACTAAGAAGAGTACAAATAAATTAATGTCTTTGATACACGATTCAGGGGAATATTTGCATGGTTAAAAGATCGAGATGCCTCTGCGGAATTTAAACAAAAATTTTATCTCAGTAATCCCTTCGATCGCCTACCTTGGAATAAAAATATTAAATGTTGTCGCTAATTGGAGCAAGTCCAGTTAAATAGATTCGAGCTTAGCATGAAATTACATGTTGACTAAAGCTGCAGCAGCAGCAGTATACTACACAAACACCGTGAACATTTTGTTTACACTTTTACGATGGAAATTTACTGTTTATAACGAAGTCGGCACTTTGAAAAGTGACGTTTCCTAGTACTTTTATCATCTAAAACAATCGCTAGATGCTTAATGCATGCGAAATTGAATATTTCTACAGAAAAGTAGCGATTAGCATTTTTCGTATCCCCACGCTTTCTCTCAGTGGCGTTTGCGTATAATTTATTTCTGCGACAAAGACATAGCAATAAGGTATACTGAAACACTGCTTTTGAAAACTAATCTTTTTCCCCACCGAGGGGAGCCTTGGGGTTCCAATTACAAATGCAAACAGTTTGTTCGCGGGATTTCACGAAAATTATGGTCTAATAATTTTGATTCTGTTTACGAATAGCTGGCAGATTTTCCCAACAAAAATTTGCGATAAAAAGCCCTCGTCTGGTACCTACCAATCGCCATTGCATCGTCATTTTAAATAATGCCGAAAAAAGATTTGTCCATTTCGAATTCGTCTTGAACAACTAGGAAACCATTAATTTTTGAAGAGATCAAACAACGCGAAGAAACAAAAGCGTGGTTTAAGACATGGCCTTGGGGCAACTTGTGTTTCTCACTTGAAGAGGAATTAATGGCTCGCTCGCAATTTTTTCCTATTGCGCTCTTACTTATGTCAAATAAACTGACCTGTATCCCAGACTTGTAGACGAATCCTTTTGCCGTTAAGCTTGATAGTTTTAACTTTAAAATCTACGCCAATAGTGTTAAGATAGGCCTCTCTGTGGGCGAAGTCCACGTAACGTAGAAGAAGACATGATTTTCCCACGCCAGAATCCCCGATCATAAGGACTTTGAACAAATAGTCGTACTGCTGTTGCAAGTCGACCTTTAGATCGTCCGAGTCCATGGTGTTGCCTTTAAATCTCAAACGGTCTACAACGTGAAAATCACGAGTACCGTTGTCAGACTAATATTAACAGTTTATCATCTGCGGAACATATTATTCGATCGAACTGCCCAGTTGGACGCGAACAGCACAAACACAAACGTTATTTTCGGTTGTGAATTGTTGCGAATAATTGTAATCGAATCAATCAGCTGTATGATCAAATGTTGTTATTTCTGACCGCTGGGAGACTGGCCCGAAGGAATCAGTAGATAGGGGGTGGATAGGATGACAGAGCACTGGATTCTGAATCGGAAAAGCGTGTGAACAGGCTCTCTGTTTGGGGAAAGGGTGACAAAATCTCCACAAACAGAGAGCCTGTTCACAGGCTGAATAGGAAACAAAAGATAGCTCAAGCAGCTACTTTCGCAGTCCACAAGCTTTTTACAGGTTGGAGGCTCGAGTCCCTAACTTAGTCTTGCGATCGGAACACTATAAACACAGGCGATTCCTTCCATTTTTTAGAAAGCAGGTCTGAATGTGAACTTCAAAGAAACAATATCTAGGTTAATCCAGAGATCAGTGATCATTACCTTATATATGGCCTAATAAATGAGAAAGTTACTCATTACAAGCCAAAAACAATCTTGTGTAGAAATCTAAAAACCATCGACCTCGAGCTATTGACAGATGACCTTTCAAACGCTCACTGGCATATGGGTGATATATTTACTGAACTCGACGATAGAATCCATTACTGGAACGGACTGATGAATTACATAATTAATTATCATGCACCAACTAGGAGAAAACGAATGCGAGAAAACGATATCCCGTACATGACATCAGTCTGGAAAAAAGCCATTAGAAAGAAGAGACTGTTTGCGAAGTTATACGCAAAAAATAAAACTGGAGAGATCTTCGAGCTTAAGAATAAATAAGTACAGAAATCTGGAGACGAAACAGCAAAGGAAAGCAATTAAACAATTCTGGAAAATGAAATCGGAAAAGATCAGGGAAAAGCCAAGAGACTTGTTCAACACTTTTCAGCCTTTCATGAGCAAAATATCTGCTAAGAATAATCCCATCACTCTGAACATAGATGGAAATGATACGGAGAATGATACGGTGTGCTGTTGCTAATTATTTTGCGGATTACTTCGCTACAAATGTAGCGCTAGATATCGGAGGGCAACGTGTACATGATTTGCTTGAGGAGGATCACCAATATCACACTAGCATCGAGAAATAGAAAACATCACGATGCAGCCCTAGATTTCAACTTTCGAGCAATTACCGAAACAGATGTGTAGGATGTTATTGAAAATATTAATCCTAGGAAATCGTCTGGTTGGGACTCTCCAACTGTACCCATCCTCCTTAAGAAAACTGCTTCAGCTATTGCACCATCATCCATCCACTGTATTGCTGAGAGCTTCTGGCCCACTAAGTGGAAAATGGGGGATTGGATATCTGTATTAAAAAAGGGAGACAAACAAGCCAAACAAAATTATCGCCCGATTACATACTCCAATTACTTGGCAAAGTGTTTTAGAATCTACTGTGTACATCACTTGCCAAAATTTTCGGGCAATAAAATTTCGGACGTTAATTTTCGGACACTTTTTATCTCATTTCGGACATATATCAGACCAAAATTTCGGACACTTTGCTGAAACACGGCGTTAGTAGATTTACGCCTATAAAACCGTATAAAGACTGAACAACACCTGTGAAATTGATAATTTTACTACACCCTTAAGGTTTTACAGATACACCGTCCGCCGAGAAAATAACACAAATTCTATCAAGTCATAATCTCAAGCAGTGTTTCAACTAGACTTCGCTTCAAAAAGGAAACTAAGGGCTTTGGAGCTTAAAGTGGCTCAATGATCTGCAACAAGATCTTCAAAAGGACCCTTTGGTTCTAGTTCCTTTAAGTGACAGCTTCCACTATTCCTGCCATCTCAAAACCCTTCCTTATCACTTCGGGTTTGTTGGCCATGTTCCACATTAGTAATATCAAGTTTTGTGTACTTTTTCCATCACGGGGTAGCATCTATGCAGTAGTTGAGGATGAAAAGTATAGGCCTTCTCCAATTGCAAAGGGAGGACTTGAGATAGTCCTTCGAGCCACGTTTAAAATTAACGACAGCAAGCGGTCTCTTCTTCATCGTCTGAAAGAACTTACTGAAAAGAACCACGAGCTTCTTTACGAATCAGTTACAGATGAAGAAGAACCACTTGCTAGTGACAATGAAGAGGATCTGTCAATTGTGTTCATGATTGATAATGAAGCAGAAGAGGACTAGCACTGAAAATGCCACTGGGCTTGGCTCAAAATATTTAACTTTTTATGTATGCAAAAAGAAATTTATTTGTAAATTGTTTATTTTTTTTTTGTAAGAGCAACAAAAATTTTCCTTTCCAGTCATATAAAGAACGACTAAAGCCTAATCCGAGTTTTAGCTATGTATATCATATATTGGCCTTGAACATGTGTCTCTTGCCTTGAATACATGAGATGGCATCGCCCAAGAAATTACTTCAAGTTTTATACTGTACTGTAAAAATTTCGGGCGGTTTTATTTTCGGACACTTTTTTTGTCCGAAATTAAAATCGTCCGAAATTTTTTGTAAGTAATGTGCTACGATCGTTTCCTCTATTCAAGAATGACAGCCTATAGAAAACATTACATAGCTGCGAGTGAACGTTAATGGGCCTCGTTGAAGACTGGAGGAAAGCCCTTAACAGAAAGGAGAAGGTGTACTTGTTAGCGTTGGACATGAGTAAAGCTTTTGACTCCCTTCACCACTCTTTAACCTTGGCCAACTCAATGCGTATGGTTTCGGCGACAGTTCTCTGGATTTCAGTAATGCGATCCTTCTTTTACGGTCGACTGAAAAGGGTCAAAGTCAGTACAGCCAAAAGTAATTGGAAAGAAATGAAACGAGGCTACCCACAGGGATCATGACTCGGTCCTTTGCTGTGGAATCTCTATCAGAACGACCTATCCTGTCAGGTCAGTAACACCAAGTTAAACAAGTATGCCAACGACCATCTTCTTTATACTATGGGGAGTAATGCCTATAGCATGAAGGCTCGCTTTGAGTAGGAAACCGCTAATTCCTTGACCTGCAGTTATAACGATAAGTCCTATAAGAGGGTCTCAATGGGGTGGTGGCTTTTACGGTTATCGGCTAAAATTTTGGCTCTTTTACGGCTATTGGTTAATTTTTTTCAGTTACGGTTAACGAAAAAGTTAAAAATCAACTTCTTTTGTTTTAAAAAGTTAAATATTAATTAACCTGTGCGTTTTTGTATCTTTAAATCAAAATAAAGGTCTTCGGATCATCTCCTGATGAAAAAAGCTTTTCTTTTGAAAAATTTTAACATTTGATAGATCATACTTTTCATAAAGTATTCCACTTCTAATATTATTTTACACATAGAAATGTCAATAGTCAATTAAAAAATAATCTTTGTGAAAAAGCAAAAGCAGACACGCGAACGCCCAACTCAAGGCCGGGGCGCGATATTCATTATAACAGAAATGGCCGTTCGAAGACTAGAAAAGGATTATTCGTGTGAGACGGGTTATCCCATTCGATGATTCGCGTCAGATAGGTAATACGTCTTAATTTGGCAATGGAATAGTTTTAATTTTGAATGAAGAATCCACCTGACTTTTGACGACAGGATTATCCGTTCCAGATAGCCTGTGTACAGCCGCCCCCTCCCCTCAGAAAAAAAGCGGAGGTAGGGGTGTCTGTGGGGAGGGCGCGACTGTACACAGGCTAGTCTCAGACGGATGATCCATTTCTAGCTCTAGTTAGTGTGAAAACGGCCAATAACAAAATTCCCGTGTCCAGTGTTTTTAATGATAGCGAAGACTGTAAGGAACGACTGTCTGCCGTTGCCTTGTCCGTAGGCCGCATTATTCCGCACGGCTGATGAGTTTCGGGTCACGTGGTCCGCGTTCGCCACCGAAATGCCTTGACCGAGATTGCGTGGGAAGACGCCGTACAGGGACTAGGCACGGCAATACGTTGGCAATGTCTACCGTAGCGTCAGAGAAAAACAGGAAAATGTTGTTTATCAGCAACGTGTTTTACAAACAGTGACATCTCTGCGCGTTGTTTCAGTAGTGTTTCGAGGGCACGACCTCCTGAAAATTGCAAATATTAATCCCCAGCAAGAAGCCACACTTTCGCTATGGAAAACGTTAGTTCCCCGAGAAAGCACCGGAAATGGAGCCTAGGTCTTGGTTAGCACCTAAACTAAAGGCGCTTCCGGCCTATAACGTGCATACGGAGTCACAGTAGCCGAGAAAGAGTTTTAGTACCTTCCTTAAAAGTAGCAAATCTAGGAAACACTTTCTTTTACGGTTAACTCTTTTTTACCCTATTTACGGCTATCGGTTAAAATTTTTCAATTTTTACGGCTATCGGCTAAATTTTTGGCCGTTTTACGCCTATCGGTGAACCCCATTGAGACCCTCCTATAACTATCGTACGGTCAGCCCCGATAAATTCCAGTTCCTGATGATGAGGATCAAGCTTCATTAACAATCAATGCGCATGTCATTGAAAGTACTGCGGACATTAGCCTTCTCGGAGTTAACATCGAAGAACATGCACCTTGTATTTAGCAAACACATTAGTGAACTGTGTACAAAAGCTAGCCAGAGAGTGGGCGTCCTTTCAAGATTAAGAAATCTGATCCCTACGGAAACAAAATTGCTTTTATATAAAACCTCGATATTGCCACATTTAACATATTGTCATCTTATATGGCATTTCTGTAAAGCCTCCGACGCCAGAAAAGTTGAAAGAGTGCAAGAGCGGGCCCTTAGGATCGTGTATAACAGACATTCAGTAGAGTACTCTAATCTTCTTAACCGTGCCAATCTACCTAGCCTATAAAATCGGCGTTTACAAGATCTTGCTACCTTAATGTATACGGTTAAATATGGTTTGGTTCCTAGCAATGTCGTTGACATTTTTAGTGTTAAGTCATCCAAATATCACTTAAGAAATATGGATTTTCGTTTACCCAGATTTAATAGTGTACGTTACGGGAAACATGCAATAAGGTACTTTGGTTCATACATATGGTCTAGATTGGACAGCAAAATCAAGGATAAACCTGCTTTACAATCCTTCAAGTCCAGCATACGGCGTATTAACCTTGTGGATCTTATAAGTGAAAATTGTGGCTCCTGTCTTATTTGTAGTACTTGAGAATTTTTAAAAATATTTTAAGCATTTTTCTGTATATTTTAGTGGGGATAACTCCATAATCTTTTAATTATTAAAATTTTTACCTTTTATAAATTTTACTAGATTTTAGAGAATTATAAATTCACCTTATGATGCCTTGTATAAACTAATTTTATATTTTTTCCCCATTGTTTTAGTGTCCCCAATTAGCTTTTATAAACTAAAGACATCGACACTTAAATAAAGTTGTTATGTTATGTTATGTTATCACTTTTTTCGACGTAATCGTTCTACAATTACGAGGCACTTTGAATAAAGAACAAGTATGAACATTATTACTGCAGGGACTTGATTTAGCAAACTTAAAGTGTTTGTAGCAGTGGCGGATCTAGGGTAGGGGGTCCGGGTCCCTACTCGATTGTTAGGCCAAACTGCAGAGGTGGTTTATTTATAAACTTCGCCAAAATGCCTGAATCACTCACAGAGCAAGCTCCACTACGAGGTCCAGAGAAAAAAGAAAAAGAAAATTAGTAATACAACTAACAAGAATGACAATACTTTACAAACGACAAAAAAGAAAGGGAAATGCAAAAACAGAATAGGGGAGGACATCTATAAAAAATTGACAAGACATACGATCGAGCAAGCTGTTCAATGGCGGACTAGTGTGGCACTTAATACACACACTCTTAAAGGTCTGGGGGGTGTCGACATCATAAACAGACTTAGTGAGATAAAGTAGTAATTATATAAAAAGATTATTCTTGAAGTGCGCTAGTGAACAGTCAGTGTTCCGGAGGTGGGCTGATAAAGTATTCCAGATTCTTGGGGCTCTACAGTAGAAACTGTTCTCAAAGGTGACGGTGTTGGCCTTAATCGTATTCAACAGCGTACCCTTGGAGAAGACAGTACGCCTGGGTCTAGCGGAATTCATGACTGAAATAAAAGGATCTAGAAAAATCTTAACACTTGAGTACCTACACCAAATCTAAAAATTTGTGCCAATGACATAATGGTAGTAACCCAATGTTCAAAAGTCTCTGCTTATAATTAACGTGAGACCGATACAGCATAGACAGAATGAATTTGTTGTGCACCGCTGTATTCTTTCGATGTCAAGGATAAGATTAACAGCTTGAGGAGCCCACACATGCAAGTACTATGCGAGGTTGATACGGTCGGGGTGATACAATCAGGGTACCCACCAACCCCATGCCCCTCTCTCCACTCCGCACCGTTACCGCCTCCACCCATTTGTTGGTTATTTGCGTGTGTCTACGGTGGGACATTTGCCAACAAAGGTGTCTGATCGGGGATGGGGGATTTGTCATTGTTGAGTATCATTTTTTCCACTTAAACAAGACAAATCTGACAATTTATTTCAAATTCATTGCAAAAATTCCATGGGCTTCCATGACATGGCTGAGCCCCCACAAGAACTGTCAAGCTATCTGAAGAAATTGTCTTGATGTTAAAAATTTGCTTTCTGTTGCTTAGTTTTTAGACCAATCTAAGGTTAGTCTTCTTATTCCATAACAATCGAGCTGTTCCAGTAATAGTATTTCATAATTAACCCTGTCAAACGCTTTCTCAATATCCCAAAAAACCCTATAGTGAATTTTTTGCTATCTGTGGTTTGTAAAATATGAGTTACAAACTCCAATGTTGCTAAAATTGCCCAGTCGAATGCTTCTAAAGCTATATAATTCATTGACTATGGAAGACTACAGTATTTGCTTGGTGCCTATCAAGGTACTTCACTAATTTCTTCCACATAGGCTTCTCTAATGTTTTATTAACGCATGGAAGGACTAAAATTCAGTAGACAATTATTTGTTCCTTATTATTTGCTTTAAATGTTGAAGTAATTAGTGCTGGTATTGAACCATTAAGAAACGATTGATTGAAAATATAAGTTAAAGGCTTAACTATGTGATAGGATATTTTCCGTAAGATTTTTGGTGATATTCCATCATACCCACAGGATATATTTTCTTCTAATGTACTTATTGCATTTTCAACCTCATTTTCTGGCGGAACTGCCCCCCCCCCCCCACTTTTCTAGAGAAAAAATATTTTTGTTTAAGTATAGTTTAATTATAAGGTACATGCTGTAAGCACTAGAAGTACCTGTCATTTTACACTTTATCCAGGTTGAGTTTTTCCAGAGAAACACTGATCTCATTGAGAATGTTGAAAGTACCATTTCCGAGCCTCTAGATTTCAAAATGTCCTGGCGGGAGGATGCCCTCAAACCTCCACCCAACAAACTCTTGTCTCCAGGGCGAGTGTTCAAGCCACACCAACCCCCCCCCCCCCCCCCCATGTTTTTTTCCTTTTTTCCAAGTTTGTTTTTTACTGAGAAACAATGTATTACTTAAGGTTGTTAAAACACCCCTTCCCAGCGCCTCATATTTAAACATTTCCCGGGGGGGGGACCCCCCCAACCCCCCCCCCAACAAATCCTTTTCCCCAGGGGGAGGTTTCAACCCCCCCCCACCCCCCCCCCCCCCCCAGTTGAAATTGCGCCCCGCCGTCCCTGATCTTGTTCTTGGCTTACTTTTGTTAGTTATGCTGTTCTGTCATTTGGAACACTGGTAAGTGATTAGAAAGATCCAGAGGCTGAGTATAGTTTACATAATATTATCTATGAGAGTTGCACTTGATTTTGATATTCTAGTAGTTGGCCGTGTGATATTAATGCGAAAAAAGAAGATGAGAACATTTGATTTATGATTAACAGATGAATTTTTAGATATTAGATTTTAGAATTTTTTTAACTTCAAATATTAGATTTTAGAATTTTTAATTTTTCTTACTTGGATGCAACTGTACTTTGCACTTGCTACTACTTAACATTTCTATGGAACATCTGGAATGTCTTTTTATCCGATAAATAAAGACTTATTATCATCATGATCATCATGATCATTATTATTATTATTATCATTATTATTATTATTATTATTATTATTATTATTATTCATTGCCACTGTTATTAAAGAAAAATATCTGAACTTGGTCAACGAAATGAGTAGAAATTATAGATGTGTGAGATTTGTAAATCTCTTGGCGTTTTCTCCGATGAATGCTCCACGTTCTTAGACATGATGAATGACATTGGCATTAACAAAAAGCAGCAATGTTATATAATCAAGAAAATGATAAATATAGCCATTAGAGCAACATATTACATCTTTTGCTGTAGAAATAGGAACTGGGATAGCCCAGACTTAATGCATTTTTGATATATATATATATATATATATATATATATATATATATATATTTTGCTTTTGTTTTGTTTTGCTTGTTTGTTTTTGTTTGTTTGTTTTTTTTCTTGTTAATAATCCAATCTCAAGCAGCATTTGTAAATTGCCTATACGTAGCGAGATTTACAATTGTACATTCAAAAACACAAATAAAGTTTCCATTATTATTATTATTAACATTTTGGTTTTCTTCGGATTTATGAAGATCAATGATAAAGATCCCCCATTAAGAAACACTTTTTGTTTTGTGAATCCACTTTATTTAATAATTCATTATCATCCAATGGATGTTAACTATTACTCAGTGCAGTGATTACTTAATAGAATACAAGCTGGATTTATACGTTGCATTTTCCTCCGTCTTTCAGTGTTTAACCAGGAAGGAAAAACTTTACATTTCCTGGCATTCAGATTGGTGATAAATTAGCCAAACCACCATTCTTTGTCGCTAATTCTCTGCCTTGACATCGAAACTATATTTTAGAGTTTTTGCAATTCCGTGTCAAATCCTATGTTTCTGGATACAAATAGCGGTATTTTTCTAAAATGACTAGAAATATAATAGTCAATAAATAAATAAATATGAAGTTAACAAATAAACAAGTAAATATTAAATAAATAGGTCAAATAAATATTAAACAGCATAAATTATAGATCATTAGTATATTTGACATATGCTATGTCAAATATATATTTTCTGGCCATCGCTTTATAAGGCACCAGCAGAGGTAATGTCTCGTTACGGCTTGGAACGTACCTAGATATCGTTGAGAACCCTTTGAGTGGAGGAGGAGGAACAGGAGATTTGAAGGAGTTAAATATAGACTTTTAAAATGGTACGAGAATTATCAATCGCCACATTAATGTTCTCATTAATCGCTGTAACTTATACATAAAACTACTTAAAATGGTGCCATTTGTTAGCAAGTATTCAATTCGGTTGTGCTTTGTCTGTCATAAAAGAACTGTTGGAATATCAGTGAATATTTGCAACTTTGACTTAATCTTTCCTTCTTGGAAAATTTTACTCACAAAAGTTTCAGTACTACATCCTCCCTCACACCTTCTTTGTCTCCAAAAGGAGTCCTAACTGGACCTGGATGGGGCGCGGCACCTTTTTATCAAACTAGATCAGTGCAACCTCCACGTGTATCAATCTTAAATGTTATCCAAAGAATAGTTACAGTTAGTTCAGTTACCGGCCAAATGGAATCTATAATTAGTTCTTATTTTAAATTGTCTCGATATAAATTCAATATATAATTCAATGCTTTATGACAGTAAATAACATAGATAAATTAGATTTACATTATTTCTGTTCGTTTGTTTGTTTCATGTCACTGTCTTGAGAAACGCGCGACAAGTACAAGAGGATCGGACCTTCTGACTCACTAGATCCCATTTCTCTTTACCATCAGCACCGCATTGCCCGGTCTTCTTCAACACTTTGACATCAAAACTCTCCTGAACGCATTCACCTTGGTTGCCGTTAAGACAAAGGTTGTCCGTCTTATCGCAAATAACTTCGTTCAGATGACGCGGGAAATAATCTGCAGACAGTGTGGTAACCGCTGACCGCTCAGTGCACAGGTAGTACAGGTTGTTGTCTCGGTCGAGCGAGCCTCGCTTTACCGTTCTTGTGTAATTTGTTTGTGGATAAGTGCTGGTTTTTCTCTTGTTGCGGAAGAGCTGGCTGCCCATCTTGTCATTTGTCGTAGACACGGTAGACTTTTGATGAACTAGTAGCGGGAAGTTTTCAGCTTCTTGCACTGTGATCGCTTGGTATCGCTTCTGATAGCCACCAAACTTTTCCAGTTTTGTTAGAAGATCTCTTCTTGTCCTAGGTTGACATACAATGTACATAGCGTCTAGCAAATTTAGGAGTGTTGCGGTTAACATCACAACAGAAACAAGCTGCCGGCAAATCATTTTCTGTAGAAAAAAATAGTGACATTAAATTGTGTAATTAGCGAGTTTTCCTACCGAAGACTTATCTTTAAATAAACTTGTTATTATTTTATTGACTGATTGATCCCTGGTTTCATGTATAATAAGTATTTATTTCGTGCTAATTATCCAGTCTTCCGAGTCCTTACTGGATCGCAGTTTGAATATGAGGCCCAGAACCTTTTTACATTTTTCTGTTATTTTATGGAGTGGATGCACACGAAAATACAAAAAAATTACCGCCCGAACGAGATGGTTTTTAAATCCATGAGGTTTTAAAGTAAGAAAATAATTCTTGACTTTTTATGAAGAAAGAACTTGAAAGTAATGGGACAGTTGTGGTTTGATATAAGACAAGATGGGCGACCAAAACGTAGCTTGCTGGTCAGTTATCTTGCCATAGGCTTTAACTTTTGTTCCAGTTATCCGGTTTAATTCGTTGTTTTCTGAAAAATTTTGGAATTCAAGCAAGTTAATCTGCTATTTAGATCTACATAAAATTTTATTTTTGTTGCATAGAGATTTTCAACGATTTTCTGCTGAAAGTGGCAAAATAACAGAGACTATTTCAAGCCCTTATTTCAAATAAATTAGTAAGGAAAATAACCTGAAATTTCTTTACATGTGTTAGTTATGACTCGAAACAGACGGCTTGTTTAATTGTTTTAGTTGTTGTTTTCTTTTTCTTCCCTTTAGTTACAATAACGTCATGATGACACCAAAACTTCGGCTTATCTTGCCATTATTTCCTTTTTCATATAAAATAATTCAGAAAAAATCCTTAACTTGCCTTTCATACAAGAGATCCTAATACGCCAAGTCAAGTCACCTGTTCTAACATTGAACCCAATTAACGTCAGTGAAAAAAGAATGTCTGTGATCTGATGATATATTTGCGTGTTTAAGAAACCGGAAAAATCGAGAACTATATACATGTAGAGTGTATTCGACACTAGTTCAATTTTTTGTGTTGATGTGAAAGCGACTGCTGAAAGGTTTAAGAAAGATAAGTCAGATTATACTAACTTAACTGAAGAATTTGACCGCCTATTAAACGTCAATAAATTAAGTCCGAAACGATGATCTTTTTATAAACATGACATTCAGAGGAAAATATTTTAAAAAGTTACATCTGATTTAGCTTAAATATAGTCCATTATAGAGTTGCCCCAAGCCTCTGTTTCAAAGCAAGGCTATATGCGAAACCACTGATATGAAAATAATTTTTTATTTGCACTTAGCCTCGTTTTAGAAGTGAGAGTTCTTGGAACTTGGAAATTGCCTATTCCATTGCATCAGACAAGATCATAAGCCGTATGGTGGGAGAAAAACGACCTAGTCCTCAGTGTCCTGTATTAATAAGATAGTTACTGAGTTACTTGATCTTTTCTTTTTCTGTTTAAGCGTATTTTATGCTGTCTCCTCACGTGAACAAATTATAACTCCAAGTTCGTCGCTAAAATTGTGGAAAGATAGCTTCTCGACAAAGGGGATGGTAAATTTTGCGGATGTGCTTGCCTATTTACTTGAATTAGTTGGTGACTTCTTCATCCACCGTCACAGTAAATCTGATACGACAATCCACTTTGTAGAATTACCACGGGCTTTATTTTGCGTACCGAGTAATGGCAGACAGGCTTTGAACGGTTTTCAGAGTCTTTCCGTCCAACTTATACTTAGCTAGTTTTTAGCTATTTAAGCAATTATAAACTCGACAATACATGACTCAGTATTGAAGCATGAAACGGCCGAAAATAAGAAAATAACCTTGGGTCGTAATAGCACTTTTAACACTTTTTTCTTAATGCCAAAGGCAGGCAACATCACTACTGACTATGGTAAAATTCGTCAGGGAAGAGAGATTTCTAAAGCTGTTGCATCATGCATCTCAAAAGAATTTATTACAAAATATCTTTCCTCATCATTTTTCATTGTTTTTGAAGTTACGCTCAGTGGCACAACCAAAAAAAAAAAAACTTAAGCTCTTCGCTCTGATCAAACTAATACTGAAATACCATTAAGTTGTATTAGAAACAATTCCTTGGTAAATAAAAACGGGCGGGTTTTTAGGTAGACCTTACCTTGAAATTCAACGTTGTTCTTTTAGATAGATAGAGCCCTCCTTCAGGTTGTAGTTCGAAAAACTCTTCTCCAAGGTTATTTTGTTGACCTTTTTATATTCTCTTGTTTGGATAGTGGTCCAATTAATATAAAAAAGTCATCTGCTAATAATAGCCAGTCAATAACTGGAGTAGACGCAATGCGGTGTTAGTGACGTCCAAATTTCATGTTCCTGTCCAAATTTCATGTTCCTTTCCCCAGGTTTTAACTGCAGCAATTTCTTCCATTTTCATCCTCATCGGCCAGTTTCCATAATAAAATAAGGTGTATTAGCTTTTATTTTTTACCGTTCTTTTTGTTATTTCAGTTTTTTTTAGAAAAAATTAGTATTTCTTTTTTTAGGAAACCTTGTCAGTTGAGTCGTCCCTGTAAAGGCTAGAAATTGGGGGAAATATACTGGACCAGTCAATTCAGGAAGTCTAAACACGTAAAGTTGACGACTTTTCTTTTATTTTTATCGCCAGAGGTCGGTAACTACGGTAGTTTTATATTGCAACATCATCTAATTTTGTTAGGTCCAGTTTTATGATGTATTGATTAAATTTTAGTCAATTTATAATAATTTATTCATCCATTTAAGAAGCATATCCTTGTTTTGATATGCCACGTACTCTTGATACATTTTACCCAACTACAGTCACGTCCTTGAATTTCCAAATGCACCGTCTCCAGCTGGCCGGGCAGGACTCTTCGCTCAAAATGTACGCTAATATACAATATGTAATTTACTTGCTAAAAGAAAATATATCAAAAGATACAAATTCAGCATATGCAAAACATGGATATTATTTCAAATTTTTTCTGCTGTCATTCAATAGACTGCTTTAGACTGACTACCTATTTAAGTGAAAATAATTTTCTAACTGCTACTCATTCTTCTAAAAAATGTGACTAAAAAATTATCTTAACCAAAGTGGGAACAATGTCTTGCAAGGAAACAATAGAAGCGCTAAAGTGCCTTGTGTTAAACAACGCCAAGGGAAAAGTTCATTGTTGTTATCACAATACTTAACTAATAAACCAAGTTTTATCAAGAAGATACACCAATTTAGGGTTAAGTAACACCAAATTAATGTAATCAGATTGGTGGTGAACATTCACTCAACCAGAACGGTTGGAAGTGTTTATTTTACACTATAAATCATGTATGTCAAAAACGAGCAAGTGTAACTGAATATCCAATATCGTAAAATCTACCACTAAGAGAGACGTTTCTGGAAATCATCACTGAACGCTACTGAACTGCAGATCAATAGTTAAACCACACTTTGACAAATTACCAAATTTGAAAAACACGACAAGGATTGGTCAGTTACTGAAAAATAGAATGTTTTTAAAAAACGTGATTTCGACTTTGAAAGAAGACGCGCATCAGTTATCAAACCAACACAGGAAAGTTGAATAAAGTTGTGTTAACAGAGATTGGACCTAAGAAACTAGTCCGCTAAATGTTAGAACAAGTTTTACTTTCTTTCAGACAATATCACCCTCAGAAGGTTTCAGAATCAGTCCAATTTGTTTTCGTTAAACTTCTTTTAAATACAGGAAAGTTGAATAGAATTGTGTTTTACTAATGTAATCTAATTCTGATCTGTACAAAGTAAACTGGTTCTGAAGCAACTAGTCCGCGAAAAGTTAAGCCGGACAAGTTCTTCTATCTAAAAATTCTTTATTAGTCCCGAAACGCTTGGTTTTGTTCTCATTAATTTTTTTTAGCCTCTACTGTAGAATATAATATTTTAATATCAAATATAGTTTGCATATAAATGGAAATCAAATGTCTAATCTTTGGGATGTCATTTGATTGAAGCTTGGAAATTGAGAATGGCTTCACTCAACTTTATACTCACGAGAATCGTTCCATCATTTCGTGTCGCAGTGGCGCAGTTATTATGTACAGAGTAACTGACCATGTTTTTAATATGAACATTGAAAAGTTTGGTTTTTACAAAGTCTTATGAAATGCGCAATTTTCTTCTGCAGCTTGTTTTTAATTTGAAACTTTGAGAGATCAACGGGTTATAAAGCATGATAAAGCACTACGGTGCATCGGATGAGAAACGTGAAGCGGAATTGAGGGATGACGTCATTGAAGTTTAAGACGTGGGCGATCGCTTTTAATTGCCTTCAAAGTTGAGTGATTTCAGCTCATTACTTAGAGCATTCATGGTGAACTGACAGATGACAGATGTTAACATGCAACGTGACTGAAAAGTATAGATGCTTTACTTGGAACCCCACAACTCATTATTTTTTTGTTTCTCGGTTTTTGTTTCTATTTTTGTCAAGGTAAAAAGAATCTTCTGATGCTAAAAGATTTTATGAAACATCTAGAAATGTTAAAATAAAATATCAAAAGAGAATAGAAATGTAAGAGAAAACATATTTCATTCATTTCTCCAATTTTTATAAAAGTGGTGCCATAGAAAGAAAGCAGAGAAAGAAAAAGAAAACTTAACTCAGGGACATGACAGGCAAATTGTTGAGTCCAATTTGAACCGAAGCAGGTCCCGTAATTTCAGTTGTTCATGTCATTAATATCAGGTGGGATTAAACGTTCTATCATTTCACCATGTTACATGTTAAATTGGGTTTTCCGCTTTTAACTAGCTCTAAAGCCAAATGGTTTATCGGGTCATTACTTGGTATATGGTGTATTAATTGACAAATGATAGTAACTAGTGATCATCGAACCGAAAACCTTAAGAGATGTCTAAACATCGCTTTTACTTGGGGCGCCGTAAGACCGTTTACTCATTTTCTCCGATTTTTCTATTTTTCAAAAGGTCTAAAAG